GACAGACAGACAGACAGACAGACAGACAGACAGACAGACAAACCAGTTACCGGTATCTAGGATCTGTCCGATCGATTTTGGATTTGTATTTTAGATACTGACGTTAGCATAGTGCTCAAGAAGTCTATTGCAAGGCATGGCCCGGATAATGCTGCATTTCATCACAGAGTGTGAGACTTTCCGAACCCAGCTGAGATGAAGTATATCACCGATCTGGTTACTGCTTTGCTAATCATATTTGCAACGGACACTGGATGCAAATTTACTTGTTTTCATTTTCATTTTGTTTGATATCTATTTTATCACATTGAGATATGTATCCCGGCGTCCTATCAAACAGCTGTTGAAAACACTCCATGGTTCCCCTTACAATACAATAATAGGTTTCCATTGGTCATGGATACAGTGGTGCAACCGGTACCGTCAGTGTTTCTTCCTCGGTCGACCCGCTTGTCACTCCAATCACCTGTTCCACGACAGTTCGACCAGGTCCGACCACCGATTCGTGTCCGCGGCGATCTTCGCGGTCCCCATCATTTTACAGTTCCCCATCCAATCCGTACACACAGGATATTCCTACAAACTATCCGGACAGTGGTCGTAATCCACGCAATCTGTCTCAGTTCAATCCGAATGCCTATTATAACCAGTATTTTTCTCAGTACATGCGATCGAACGAGTTCAATTCACTCCAATCCATTCTGCCCCATTTGGACTCACCTTTGGCCTATTCCGATCATTCGTTATCCAATTTGGGACATCCGTACGACTATCCGTATGCGTCGTATGCACACTACACTTCGCAACCGGTTGGTCTTCCATTAGTCCACGAACCCTATCCCAATCATCCCTATACACATCAATCAATGAATTCCGGTCCGACCCATCATTCAGGATATTTTCCTCCGGCAAAATTAACCCGAGGTGCGAGCAATATGCAAACAGTGTCCACAAATTCCCTCTCACCGAATTCAGTCAGCTCAAATCCACCGTATTTGGACTATCACGGATCATCCGTACCCAGTCGACCTTCATCCCGATCTAGGATGGGAAAAATAACCTCGTTGAATGGTCAAACCAGACGGGAAAGAATGCTAAACGGTGACGGGGAGCATGAACGATCCACAGCGCGATCGACGGAACGTGGAAACGCAGAAGAAACCGGTGAGTGAACTGAGGAGCGGTGGTGCGGGGACGGGCGGGGGGTTGGGGGATTGGTGAACGAATTCTTTAGGTGCAGTTTGGTTGAAAAACAATCAGTGAGAGCATTTATTTCAACTACATCTCGACCAGTCTATATATTTCTACCTAATTTTTCACCGGTTTCCATAGCGAAAATTCTCTCTTGTATTTCACACAAACTAAAAACTAATCGTTCAAACTGTGTACTGCTTACGCGTATTTAACAACACCTCTACACACAGGTTGGACATGTTAGGAACTGTCCACGGTATCCTTTCGATTTCCCGTATGGCTCGGTTCAATAGTACATTGATTGTACCGGAGTCTTGGACATTCCAACAGGTGAATATACTCTGATACTTTCTAATCTTCACTGGTTCCCACACAAAGGCACAATGTTCTTTAAGAAATCCGATTCGGAAGTTCCATAAATGATGAGCAACCGGTTCGTATAAGAGATACGATTTTTTTTCTGTATAGTCCAGGTCCACAGATAGGACTGAAGAGCCATTGTATCTTTTCCGTAATTCTTGCCTGTGGAATCGGATAGGTTGATTCGAACCGAGGATTGTACAATAATCCGGCTATTCGTTCCAAGTGTTAGCCATTGAGAGTGTAGTTTGGGAGGGGGAGTGAGGATTTTGACCCTCACCCGAAAGGGACACAGTTCTACAGGTTGCTCATGCTCGTCCTAACTGGTGGCCAAGCAACTGCCCAGTGCTCTTCACACAACAAATTCGATCGTTTGCATTCAACATGAAGGGGTTGGGATTGGCTGATTGCCCGACAGTTTAAACCGGGCACAGGTTGCCCGTTTCCATGAGTGAACTGTAGATGGGTTTACCTATCCTGTTGTCGATCACATTAAAATGTATGCAAACAAAAAAGTCCGTTTTGTCTGGTACACTCTTTTGGCCACGGACAATCAATCAATCAATCAATCAGTCACTCAGTTTGCCAGTCACCCTCTCGGTCACTATAGTTCATTGTATGTATTAATTCTCTATGTTCTCTGTGTTCCGCGTCCAACAAAAGTAGCCCGATGAAGCACTCCATCGATCAATAACAGAGTGAATGACCGAAAACAATTGAACACAAGTTTGACTGAAATATGTTTGCCAACCGTGTCTATAACAACCGATGTGATGCGGTTTCTAAAAGTAGCCAATTCGACTTGTGTTCAGAACCACCCAATCTAAACGATGCATTGCTGACATAAACTCTGCAAATCATGCGGAATACCACTAACGTAGCTGGGAGCAGTTCGTATTTTCCAGTCAACATCAAACTCCATCATCAAAGTGCTCGACAATGTGTGTGTGCAAACTTTAGAATAACAAATTTATGCTCATTTTGCAACCCGGCAAATCAACGCCCGCGCCACCACATGCAGTGTCATCGTGTGGGATGCACCGGTCCCGACAAATAGGTTTACTGTGTTGTCGTGAATCGACAAGCTTTTGCGTCCTGGGTATTCGCTCCCGGGTGACCGCCATATCAGACAAACAAATTCCTGAGCTATGCTAGTCGGACGGTTGTGTTCATCCGTACCCAGGACCCTTCGAGCGGACGGGCGCATTTTGACAGGCCACATTTGATTGTTTGCCTTTCACTCATGGTCCCTACTATATGCCGAAACTAAGCAGGTATGTGAGCTTGGTGGAGGGGGCTGGAAAGAGAGAAAGGGTGATATGAATGCCTACAACAGAGTGGTGGCGGCAACGACAGTAGCAACAACAACAACAACAACAACAACAACAACAACAACAACGACAGCAGCAGCAGCAGCAGCAGCAGTGGCGTTGTAGCGCAGTTAGATTGAACGTCGCGCGTACGTTTTTCAGCACACGTACACAAACTCAACTTTCACATCCTATCTATTCGCGTTCGCTACACGCATCCCCAACCCGATTCGACCAGACCACCACCATCAATGTTTCCCCCTTAGTTTCCTCAGCCACAATTGCCTTTTGACTACCCCAATGCTCCCGTTTGTATTTTCACTCCCGCCCGCCCTACCGTCATCTCGGTAGTCCTCCTGTTTGGTCAATCCTCTGCTACTCGGCATGCATGCACTATTTCGGATAAGGTTTTGACAGGTCAGGATTTTACTCGACCGTTCCACCTTCTCACCGAAACAAGAAATTCCACTCAAACGCACCTATAGACACCATC